ATAGTCATCAACTGAAACAGTGAGTTGAGTAATTTTTGGAGAGAAGATTGGTAGATCAGTTTTGCACATGCTAAGTGAGATATCTGAGTGTTAGTAAAATGAACCATTATAGCCACATTTATACACAACACAAATAAAAAGGAAAAAAATCTAATTATTAAAAAATTTCCAAGTATGCACAGTGATCATGAAGAATGAAGAGAAACTAATTACAAGATTGGAGAGCATTAGCAGATTTCAATTACTGTCAATAAAAATAAAAAACAATAATTGGCTATATATAAATGCATTATAAACATATACTTGTTAATGATAGATTATTACACAGGAATGTACTGTTTTACATTAGAGGCAAATAAATTAGTTTGACTATTCCATATAATTTCATAAATTATTCAAATAATAATGTGGCTTTTCCAAATTCATGAAACTTTAAAAATATTTAGATTCAAAGACTGAGGCATTATGTGACAAAAATTGAGTTTAAAAAAAAAAAAAAAATCATGAACTATGGAGAATGTTGTGGACCAAAGCTCTTGAGAGAAAAAAGATCTATTTGCTTTAAAGAAGCTATTTTGAGTTACTCCAGTATGGCCAGAAATAGGTCAATAATAAAAGTGGTGAACAAGAAGAAAGACTATGTTGGAGGTCGCTCAGTAATGTGTTTGACTAGCGGGACTGGTATAAAAGAGAATCAGCCATGGTTTCTAAGCCTTAGGGTATTTTCTGAGGTGGAATCAAAACAAGCTCTAACATTGAAGAAATCCTTTAAAAATCTACACACTGCCATTTAGATCCAAATGCAACTTTATCAAATCTAAACATTTACCTCTTTTACCTTTTAAAAACTTATACATGATTCTCCAATCAACACAAACATAAACCTGGTTCCAAATGCATGATACACAATAACCACCACTAATATATATGCATACAACAGTAATCTCTCTCCTATGAAAACTACCAAAATAAACTGTAGCTATAATCTCATTAGCATTTCACATAAGGAAAACAAAAAAACATCCAAGATATAATTATGTGCTCTTTTAGGATGTACATCAGTGTTTCTCAAACTCAGCATTATTTATGTTTCAGTTTAGAAGACATTTTGTGGTGAGGGGCTGTCCTGTGTACTGTAGGATATTGAGCATCATCCCTACCCTTTCCTGGCTAGATAACAGTAGCAACTCTTACAAGTAATGTCAAGTAAAAAATTGTCCCCAGACATAAGCAATGTCCCATGGAAGTGGTGGTAAGGGTGTCAAAATTGTCTCTGGGTAAAAACTACTGATATAGAACAAGAGTCATCAATTCAGTTAAAATCACACGATGACTCTTGAGCCTCAGTACCCTCACCATTCACAATTTGTAAGGGATTAACGACAGAGTGGGATTAAATAAAAGTGTCAGTAAGCTACTCCCTTGTTCCATGCATAAAGTCTTCATTAGCACCCCCATCCTTTCTTTGCTTCAGTCACTCTAATGTTAAGAGCCTGGAGAAATCAGAATTAACGCCTCTCCAGTAAAGGGTAGCTATTAACTATTGTTGGCCAGTAAGTCATACACAGTACCCAATCTATATGGCAGCTCATCTTAGAATTCTAAGATATAGCCTTATTCAGGGATGTTGGTCTTTGAATGGCATACATCTAAAGTTTTAAATAAAGAACAGCTGAAGCAAAGTGGAAGAAATGTTAAGAAGGAAGGAAGGAAGGAAGGAAGGAAGGAAGGAAGGAAGGAAGGAAGGAAGGAAGGGTGTATTTAAAAAAAAGTGGAAGAAATGTGGCAGATGAGATTATTGTAGACCTGCCCCATGCTATAGGAGGGAATACAAGAGCACAAAACATAGAAAACACCCAAGACAGATGAACAAAACACACAACAGGTCAGATTGTAATGAATAACAAAAAACAAAGAGGCATGGGTGCTATGATCTCAATGTTGTGTACCCAGATTTATGCTGACATCCTTACCCCCAAAATGATGGCATGAGAAGGTAAGGGCCTCTGGGAGACGATTAGTTCTGCTTCTCATTAATGGGATTCATTCCCTTTAAAACAGGACCTAGAGAGGACTCTTGCCCCTACCACACTATGTGAATTTAGTGTCATTCAGAAAATAGGCCAAAGTAAAATAAGGAAAAGAGCTGGGGATGCAGCTCACAAGTGAGCCCTTGACTAGCATGCATGAGGCTGTGTGTTCCATCCCAGCGCTGTTAAGAAACAAACAAGGAAAGAAAAGAAAAACGGGAAGAAAGAAAGGCCCTCACCTGACACCAAATCTATCAGCACCCTAATCTTAGACTTCCCAGCCCCTGGAATTGTGAGAAATAATTTCTGTTGTTTATAAGCTACTCAGTTTATAATATTTTGTTATAGAAGCCCAAGGAGATGAAGTCATTGGGGAATATAAAATGTTAGGGTTAAAATTTTAGCCAGAGGTTCCAGGGAAGAGCCAAATATCAAGAAGGAGTATTTATTCAGTATCTGGAAATATCCTTGGTAGTTGTAGAAAATTGTATATAATCCACATTTAAGATGGGAAGTAAATAAGTATCTAAACAGCAACATGTTGATTTTAATATAACTTTAAAACAGCAAGAATAAAGCTAAGTGTTTATAGTCTCCATAAAGAAGTGGGCTTAGAGCAGAAGTGTCCCTCAGGAAGGACGTTGCTTTGATTTCTTGCAACACACTGACTGTCTAGGGCAGAGGGGTGGGAGGGGAAGGGAGGGGGCATGGGGTTAGAAATGAGGGTGGAATGTGATGGATATCACTATCCAAAGTACATGCATGAAGACACGAATTTGAGTGAACATACTTTATATACAAACAGAGATATGAAAATTGTGCTCTATATGTGTAATAAGAATTGTAATGCATTCTGGGGTCGTTTATTTAAACTAAAAATCAATAAAAAAAATACACTGACTGTGAAAAACAGTGAAGTAATGTAATGTGTCTTCCAAAACAGGCTTTTAAGCAATGAAAATCTCACTTTTGATCTGGCCAGTTACATAAACTAGAGTTGCATTCAGTTTTTATAGTCTTACCTCATATTTTATCTTTTCAACTCTAATGAGCAAGGTGTAATTTTGTATTTTACAAATAAAACAGCTTAAACCAAGGTAAAAAGAATGTCTGTGCTTATAGTCACATCACTATTATAGGGAAAACTGTGGCCCAAAGAGAAGGTCATAAGCTCATGGAGGGGTCTCTTCCTTTAAATCACCAATTATTTGGTTGTGCTTGACAGCCACATGACATTCCACCATGAATATAGCCAGTAGTAAGAACAAAAAGACTAATATCCCATAATCTATTAAGAGTCTATTTCAAATGTTTTTTCAGAAATCCTTAACAAAGACAACTTTAAAAAAACAACATCAGTTCTTTTACAATGCATTCCCTAGTATGCTTTTTTCTTTGTAAGAATAGGAAAGAAACCAAAGTAAACACAAAATAAACAAGATATAAATAGATTTCTCGAGCATGCTACAGGGACACTGCTACATCGATGTTCATAGCAGCACAATTCACAATAGCAAGACTGTGGAACCAACCTAGATGCCCTTCAATAGATGAATGGATAAAAAAAAATGTGGCATTTATACACAATGGAGTATTACTCTGCATTAAAAAATGACAAAATCATAGAATTTACAGGGAAATGGATGGCATTAGAGCAGATTATGCTAAGTGAAGCTAGCCAATCCCTAAAAAACAAATGCCAAATGTCTTCTTTGATATAAGGAGAGTAACTAAGAACAGAGTAGGGTCGAAGAGCATGAGAAGAAGATTAACATTAAACAGGGATGAGAGGTGGGAGGGAAAGGGAGAGAGAAGGGAAATTGCATGGAAATGGAAGGAGACCCTCAGAGTTATACAAAAGTACATACAAGAGGAAGTGAGGGGAAAGGGAAAAATAATACAAGGGGGACAAATGAATGTCAGTAGAGGGGGCAGAGAGAGAAGAGGGGAGGGAAGGGGAGGGGAGGGGGGATAGTAGAGGATAGGAAAAGCAGCAGAACACAACAGACACTATAGTATGGCAATATGTAAATCAATGGATGTGTAACTGATGTGATTCTGCAATCAGTATATGGGGTAAAAATGGGAGCTCATAACCCACTTGAATCAAAGTGTGAAATATGATATATCAAGAACTATGTAATGTTTTGATCAGCCAACAATAAAAAATTAAAAAAAAAATAAAAATAAATAGATTTCTCCAAAGCACAGTGATTCTAAAAATGCTTTTTTGGGTAAATAAATGTTTAGTATTATGAATGAAAATCCATCGAGAAGAAACTATACATTAAACCATCACAAAGCTCAGTTTTTGCACTGCATTCCAAAAGGCCTTGATCTCTACCATCAAAACTATAATTTGTGCTTCTCAAAGTTAATACTCAGTTCACTGGAAATTTCTCTGTAAAAGGAAGAGGTCACTGAACAAAATATTCAGAGCTTTCCACTTTATTTTCTTCCTAATGGCTACTCCATCTAAATGGAGGGATTTTACCTTTAGTCTCTGTTCCTAAGAGGCATTCTCTTAGAATGTTCTTAATATCATCTAAATATTCTTAATATCATCTAAACACATTCTTGATAAGTATGTTAAGCACTGTTTTAGAATTATCTGTTTTATAGATCCTCTGACATCCAGCAGGCCAATTCTTCCTGACAGTAGTTCTAAACATGTTTATTATATAGACAGTAAATTAAGCTCTGCACTAGGTTGAGCATAAGGCACGAACAGATCACAGTGCCAGGAAGAAGACATGAAATTTCAGCACTGTGCAAAGAACAATGATAGAGAAATTTATACATTGTTTTAGGAGCAGAGCAAATACTGGCACTGCCTGAAAAGGTGCTAAAAAATAAAGGTACCCAGTTCCTCTCTTTTTATAGTTAAAAACTCCATGTTCTTCTTTCTTCTAAGTAGACTTTCTCAGTGAACAAAGCACCCGCCCCAACCACAACCCCCCACATGCATACCTTGTGGCTTTGGACTTGCAGCTGAGCGTTTCGCTGGTGTCTTCCCATTTATTCCCTGAGCCTCTTCAGATACATTCTGATCGACCAGTGTGGTTGTGCTGCTCGTTGAACCAGGTGGGACTAGAGTGACCTTTGGACAGGTACTGCTGCCTGTGAGTTCAAAAGGAAAGATAGATAAATACCGAGGCATAGCACAATTCTATCTGGTTCGTCACATTTCTCCTAACCCCATAAAACTAAAGCAGTCATAAGATTAATCGTCCAAATACTATTTCCATGAGTGCTGTCCTTGATAAAGAACTTTCCTGGGAAAGAGCTCATTCCATGTGCTTTCGTAACCCTCTTAGCACACCCAGGAAAACCGGCTACACAGAGACCTCCCTTCCTAGCAGAGTCACAGAAAGGGCTTAGAATGCAGCTGCTCTGGTGTAGGTGGAGGCGAGGACAGGAGGGGCCCAGCTCTAATCTGTTAAAAGCGTTTCTTACCAGTGTCCAGTCAGTCACCAGTCATCAGCCGACTCAAAGAACAAAGCAGGAAAGCCCCAACGTGACAGCTGACCCAAAGACTCCAGAAGAATGGCTTAGACAGAAACAAGCAGATACACACAACCTCTCACCCACTAGCTTACTCGGTGACTCCACATAACACCCACGAGCAGGCAGCAGAGGAGTGACCCAAGCTTCCCAAGGATGGAAAGGCAAGATTACATGGAGAACACCATCAAGTTTATTTAGAACTCAAAACCCAAAATGTTCTTTAAAACAACACTGAGATACATTACAAGACACAGAGAGGAAAAGTTCAGTCTTCTGTTCAGTTTCTGATACAAGATGGTACATCTTAAATTTCAGAGACCTTTGAAAAAGCCACGTCAGTGTCTTCTTTATATACATACATTAAATTTCCCTCTCTCATGGTTGACATGGCGAAATTAACTATAGACTGAATGAACTCTGGTTAAGAGAAAATAATTTCTACCAGGAATTCACTACAACTGAAACAAAATAGGCCATTTGGTTAAGAAAGAGTTTCATTTTTGTAGGATTTAAATATAAATATCAGAGATTTTTAAAACTTTATCATGCAAATCAAGAAAAACTAAGTTTAAAAAAATCAACTATCTACTGAATCAACAAGATCCTTCTTGGGAGCTGGGGCTGGGGCTCAGTGGTGGAGCGCTTGCCTAGCATGTGTGAGGCCCTGGGTTTGATCCTCAGCACCACATAACAATAAATAAAGATCTATTAACAACTAATAAAATATTTTAAAAAAAGATCCTTCTTAGTACAAATTATTAAATAATATTGACTAAAAAGTACACAACTGCTTTATTTTCTGTGTGCCCTTAAAATTTATGTTGGTGAAACAGATTTTAGGAAGTATTAACAGTTCTAAGTACTGTCTGAGAAATTTATTAGAGAAGCAGTGCTAAAACAGAAATTAAATGGGCTTTCAACAAGAGACCCTTCTGCTAAAATGGTAAATCTGTCAGCGGGATTAACTATTTTCAGCAAAAGCAAGAGCTATGGATGACTGACAGAATATTATTAAATTTGTAAATGAAAGAACTAAAAGTTCAAATCTTTAAATGTATGAGTTTATGTCCCTTTCTAGAAAACCTCAAGTAGGCAAAGCATGTCCCTAAAATTCACAGGGACATATATCAAGCAATCACTTAGCCTTTCAGGGGGATTTGGATGTTTTTCCACAGTGATCTCAACATCAAGCAAGTCTCCTAAAGGCCACCTGCTGGGGCCTAGTGAAGGATGGCTTAGGGGCAGAATCTCAGAAAAGCCACAGCTCCACTATAAACCAGAGCAAGAAACTGCAGCATAATCATAAAAGGAGACCTTGCCAAAGCAAGAATGCAGCTTTAGCCAGAGTGATAACAACAGCAGCAATAAAACCATTAATGTATTGAATGGGAAGTTAATGTGCTGAATGACAAAACTGAAAGTCTTTAAAAAAAAAAAAAAAGACCTCCACTGTTACATATTAACATATGAAACAAGTTTAAAAATTAGTCTGTTTAGAAGTGAAATGTGTCTTACAAAAGTATTAATTTGAAATTCAAAACTAGGCACATAATTTCTGGAGAGCAAGCTTCCTGGGTGTGATAGGTTTTATAAGTGTCACATTTATAGAGATTATCTCCCAGGAATGTGACAAGATGCTTGCAATAAGAGATCAACTACACATTCATTTCCCCATAGATTCATTAAAAATTCATGACCACAGATCTTTTGCCAGGGATAATAAAGCCACAGTCAGAAACTTCACCTCACACTATTGTTTAAAACAAGTCTCCAAACATCCACCAGTTTCGTGAAACAGGAACACATGAAGGACACAGAGAACACATACGTTTTTGAAAGGTTATTTAAAGAAAAGAAGACCATATGTGGCTGTAAGCATACCTCTTTCTGTCCTCCAATTTACTATCTGGCCTTTTAAGGGAAAAGTTACTGACCACTGAGATAGGTCACACATATCTTGGTAAAGAAAGTTTGCCTCATACCAAAATCATTTCATTAATCATTTCATCTTGGTTAACAGCAATAAAAAGTACAACTTTGCTTCTTTATGACTTGGGGAGAGTTCTCATTTGGGTGCCAGTTGCACAACAAGAAATTGAAACCAAATTATAACCAGATAGTCTACCCATTAACTACATTAACTACAGGGGCTCTTAGAGTCCCCATTATCAAAAAGAACCAGTAGGAGTGATTTACAAGTAAGTGGGTACCTAGGGCAGAGAAATAGTTCTGTGTGGACACAGGTCAATTCAACATTATCAAGATTTGTAACAGATACGGATGATCTCCAAGACAAAATTAGATAAAAGAAAATTGTATAGTATAGAATGTATAATGTGATCTCATTTAAAAAAAAAAAGCTGTATACAAATGTATGTAAATTGAGTGTGCCTTATCCAAAAATCCTTCAGATTTTGGAGTTATCTGGGTTTTGGAATATTAGCATAGACTTTATCAACTGAATATCCCTAATCCAAAAATATGAAATCCAAAGTGCCCCAGAATCCAAAACTGAATAAAGCAAAAGATATTTTAAAAAAAAAAAAGTTTTTAAAAATCCTGTCAACACCTCCAAGGAGTTTCAGATTTTCAAATTAGGGATGCTTCACCTATAAACATATTAAAAAGGATGGAAGGTAATATGGAAACCTTAATTTTGGGAATTAGGTATGGTGGTGAAATGAGATAATGATTAAAACTGTCATGTTTTGCTATTTATATAGCTATTAATATTTTATGTACAGCTTTAAATCTTTTATAAATAAAATGTGTTTATTACTTATATAAAAAAGAAAAAACATGAAAATCAACTAGTACATGTATTACAAGACTTTAAAAAACACATACCCCCTATATTTATACATCCATGTTCATGACATCATTCACAATAGCCAACAGATGGAAGCAGCCCAACTCCAGCAGGGGATGAATGAGTATATAAAGTGTGGTATGTACAGACTATGGATATTATTTAGCCTTTGGAAGGAAGGAAAACACTGACATGCCACTACACGGATGATTCTGAAAGATATTATACAAAGTGAAATAAACCAGTTTTCAAAAGACAAATACTGTGTGATTCCAGGTACATTAAGAACCTAAAATAGTAAAATTCATAAAAACAGAAGCAGAAAGGATGTTGCCAGAAGCTGGGAGGAAGAAGTATTGGGGAGTTATTGCTTAATGAGCACAGAATTTCCGTTTTGCAAGATGAAGAGCTCTGTGTAGATGGATCAAGGCAATAACATAACAGTACGAATGGATTGTGATGCCACTGTACTGTACACTTAAAAATGGTTAAGATGGTAAATTTTGTGTTATATATATTTTTTCAAAATTAAAATTATATCTATTGCTTAAATAAGAAAAACTCACGAAATTCTAAATTTTCCTTATCTCCAGTATAGCAAGAAATCATATTAGAACCTCTTCGAAGTTTTGGTGCTACTGAGTGCTATGCTTGGTTCTTTCCCCGCCTGTGCTTGCTCACTTCCTTGATGATCTCAGCCAGTCCCAGGCATTCTACATGCTGAGACTGGTACATTTACTTTCACTCCAGACCTTTCACCCAAACTCCAGAGTTATTCATTCAACTGCCTGTTTGCATCCCCACTAGTATGATGAAGAGCTTTGTCACAATCAATATTCCTAAATCTGAACCTTGTATTTATTTCCAACTTTCTCCCTAAACCACTTCCCTTACAGTTTTCTCCATTTTGCTAATGGCACTCACCTAGGCTTAGGCAAAAATCCTTGGAAGCATCTGAAACTGCTTTCTTCTCACATTCTGTACCTCCTTTTCATCAGGAATTCCTGTTGGCTCGCTCACCACCTCCATTGCTACTATTCTGGCCCAACCTATCATAATCTCTAACTAGATAACAGCAAGACCCTCCACAGAGTCTCCCTGCTCTTTCCCTTATCCCCATTATAGTTGGTATTATCCAACAAGGCCCAGAGAGATCTTTTTAAAATCCAAATCAGTTCTTGTCCTTCCACAATTCACTCAGCATAAAATATCGAGTCTTCACAGTGGTTTGCAGACACTACAAGATCTGGCCTTGGTTCCATTAGCACTGTACTTTATCACCTGCTACTGCTGCTGTCCACTCTACCCCTATCATGCTGGTTCTCTAATGTCCTCACACAGGCCAGGCACACTCAAAGCCTTCCATCCAGCCATTCTCTGCTGAGATGTGTCTCCTCCCAAATAATGACCATCTGAAAAATCTTCAAATCTTGGCTCAAATTACATCTTGTTAACTTGGACCACCCTGATCATCTAGTTATTATAACTGCAATTTCTACCCTACCCTGCTGAACTGTTCATTTTTTTCTCATAGCACTTGTCATCTTCTAACACATGTTATTTATTTTATTTATTGCATTAGAACGTAAGCTCTGGCAAAAGAGTAATCTTCTTTTTGATATATCCCAGGAACACCACCAGTCATGTAGTAAATGCCTGATAAATATCCTGAATGAATAAATTCCAAAGGCCTTAGGTAAGTTGTTCTTTATTTGCCTACAATTTTGTTTCTATTTCATGAGAGCTATTTTATAAATTCTGACAGTAAAGAAATATGTAGTTGTATTAGGGCTCACTCTATGTG